AGATGGGACACAAATGTTTATCAGATCTAAAGAAATATTTTGTGATTTGATAGCGAAAAACTCACTGCGAACTGTTAGAATGCAAGCTAGTCCATTAAGAAGAACTTTCAAAGTTGACTTCTACCCTAATTCAGTGCAGGCTATGAAAGCGTTTTTATAATGTATGAATGAGCAATGAATATACCAGTCAAGTTAGAATAACATGAAACTCAGCATAAACTGCATAATGGACCAGTTCGGAGAAAGACGAAAATCAAAGAAGTGTAAATAATGCTATTGAAAGTCACAAAATACCACAAGAAAAAAAATCTGGGTTATAGCCAATAACGAAGTGTAATATAACGGTTAAGGCGAAGATGAGGCGTGACTGCAACTGTGCCGCTTTGATTCGTTTTGGGCGACATAGCCTGAAGTCTGTAGTTGTTATTATATAATACTTCTAATATCCCAACCAAATCACCAACACCTTTTTACACATCGGCACTAACTTCAGTATGAAGTTATACTGAAGTTTGTGCTGATGATATCGTCTAGAAAGACGACGAAAGCTTCACGATTAAACAACCCAGCTCAGAGAACACAATACAATCAAGACCATCCACCTGAGCTACAAATATTCGCCACCTTTTTACACAGCTCAAACCCACAGTAAGCGGTTTCACGGATGGATGTCAATTTTAGGTTTCTTATAAATCAGCTTTATTCCAGGTAGCACAGTGTTCTAGGGCAGATGTCGACTAGACACGCGTAACATATCTGTCATCTAACTAAGTAGATAAAGGGTTGCCACCTGTGTAGTAACCTCGTTTTTACCTAAGATTCTATGAACGGCTGGTGCTAGCAAAGTGGTCCAACACTTAAAGTTTTCTTTTATCCTCTAATTACCATGACTGTTTTACATAGATGACGTAGAATAGGACAAGCGGTTGCACAGTACACTCGACCCTTAGCGGACGATCAATTATACAAAATATCTAGATCAACACAGTGCTTTTACAGAGTGATATATATTTCTTTAGGTTAGATGAACTTACTTGTCTTCTACCTCATCCTTTTGAGTCAAATGTCTTCCTTCACTGATTTCGCAGCAAGGAAACTGTATTGCACCTATCAGGCAAGTTATTCCTGTGAAGTAACTAAAAAACACTACTAGTGGCAGCTATCTACCGTGCTGAATGAGAAAATGAATCATATTACCACCTATATCCCAATCAAATACTCTATCTAAGAATCTTATAAGTCAAACCAACCGATAGAAGCCAGTTAAATAATCAGAGCATGTGAACTTCAATCTCACTAAAATACGGACTGACTAACTAAATCAATGTAGAATATAGGTCCAAGTTGCCGCACTTCACAGTAGTATACAAAGAACAGGTGGATAGAAAAAACGGATATCAAAGTAGACAAAGTTGTGTAGCAGAATAAAGGTTAGTCTGAATATTCACGCCTTAGAAGATATGAATGAGTGAATAAATCTGTGCTATTGTGATCGATTGTCAGCTATGTCACCTAGAATCCTCAACCAATAGTGAGACTTCGTCGACTGGTGTGGCCACCCTGAACCCTTTTCAAACCAAACCCCACCTCGGCTAACAAGGCATGTAGAGATAGGTGGCGACTCGGCATGCGCAAAGTGTTTCCAAGCCATCTTAATCGACTAAGGTTCACAACCTCGTCAGTCGACTTCCCTGTTTTGCCGAATATCCTTCGTCTAACTTCAACATCCCTCACACGGTGGTTCCCCAACAGACGCGAGCAATGCTACGAAGACACTTGTGATTAAAACCCTGTAATCGCTTCATGTCTTCTACTTTTAACGGCCATGTTTCCCAGCCGCATAACAAGACAGAATGAAGTGCAGAGCAGTATACTCGTCGTTTGATGGATAGTCGAATATCTTGCCAGTTGGAGCTACAGACGATGCAAGTTGGCAAATGACAAACGGGTCTTCTGTATTCGACCTGAGATTTCAACAGCAATCAACCCCTTTGGGTTGATGCAACTCACCAAGTAAATGAAATGGTCGACACATTCTGCCACCTCACTTCTTATCGTTAAAGGGGGAGTGGTTGCAGACCAGTCCTGGAGTATCATCATAAATTTGACAGGTGATAGCGAAACACATGTCAAACGTACTCAGATTTCTCCTCAACACCTTCACAAGACCCTGCATTTTGTCAACGCTTTCACTTAGCAGGCCAATATCGTCCTCATACTTCAAGTCAGTCAGATGACCTCCAAGAAGTAGGTCAATCCTTGTGAATTCAGATATACCTACGGTTATGTCCATTAGTACGTCTATAACGAAGTAAAATAGAAATGGTGACAGTGGGTATCCTTCGTGCACGCCACAAGCTGTCATTAGTTCGGATGATAAGCCTACATAAGTCCTTACGCGGAAGCGTGAGTTCAAGTAGAGAGCATTGATTAGCGTTACATACTTTCTCAGTACTCCCTTCACAGACAGATACTGCCACAACACTTCACAGTCGACAGAGTCAGATGCTGCATTCAAGTCAAGAAACACGTCAAGTATCGGCCAGCAGTATGCATGCCTGTGTTCTATAATCTGACTTAGGGTAAAGGTTTGAACGATGAGCTCTCGCCTAGGCCTGAAACCTGGCTGGTCTTCTCGGGTTTGTCTCTTTTAAGCTTCAGTTAGGCATAGGATAATTATGGACCCAAGGATCTTCGACACAATATAAGTCATACTAACTCCCTTATGGTTATCATAGGAAGACTTCTCGCCTTATCGTAGACTTAAATGGTCAGAGAAGTTGACCAGTTTGACGGTGCTGCCTCTGCTCAACAATCTTTTTACCTCCAGGTGGCAAAGCGTGACATCCTGCTGCTTTACATATTTCAGGTTCAGTACAGCTTTCTCAACTTCAAGGAGAGTTGGAGGACCAAAATCTACATAGCATTCAGGTTCAGACTGGATGTTGGACAACTGAAGTGTTGCTGAAGGGTAGTTGAACTGTTCTTCAGTGTTCTGCCCAACGTCCTAGCTGCCTATCCTAGAAGGTTACTAGCGTTCCATACTTTTTGGCGATGCTTTCACTTACCATCGTCTTCTTCTTGCCGGTATCTCTAATAAGCCTAGACAGTTGTCCAGTGTTACCCAACGCTGATTCCTTCTCCATTTTTCTCACTCTCGTCTTCCTCATCGCTTGTGATCATTGCGGAGACTCTTGATCAACTTAGGTTTAAGTTTTTTTCGCTCTTCATCGTGGTTAGAGCCGGCTGGAATTAGTCCTGTAACATCATTCAGTTCGGATGACGTCGCAGAAATTCAATGACATTTGCTAACCTTCGGGTGTAGTTTAGCAATTATCTTTACTGCTGTTTCTACAGCAGACTTAATATCACACCTGATTTCCTCAGGATACGCATTGCTGTCACGCCCAGATAAATGCCCAGCTATCTCTTGCCTGAGTGTAGACTTGACGTTCTCATCTTCCAACCGACCATAGACAGGCCTTAGTATCGCCTGTTTCCTGCAACCAGTAAGGTGCAAACACGCATGACCTCATACTAATGTGTGGTCAGAGTCTGTACTGGTACTCCAGAAAGAGCGCGAATCCTCCAACGATGGCTTATAGCAATATGATCTATCTGTGTATATCGTTGGTTTGATGTCGGCGGATGCCATGTGAGACAGTGTCTCTCTTTATACCTAAAGTTAATGCTGGCCAGAAACAAATGGTTGTCGAAACAAAATTACAACAGACGACCACCGTTGTCAGTTCATTGGTATGGGATTCTGTAAATACCTCCCAGATACCTGTCTTTCCGATTGGTTCAACTTCCCTACTTGAGCATTAAAGTCACCTGCCATTATGACTACATCTGGACGGCTTGCTTTCTGTAACAAGGTTAACAGCTTCTCACATAATTCATCCTATGCATCATCCGAACCGCAGCTGTTGGGTGCATAGGTGCGGATTATGAATAGGCATTGTCTAGTCTTAGTTCCTTCCTAGTTCTTACAGATCCATTCAGTCAAACAGCACATAGACGGCTGTCTAATGGTATCCAGTTGAAAAGTGCTATTTTGATCCTACGACTAAGTGTGCTATGTCTACACGAGCGAGTCCACAAAAGCTAGACATAGCGTCTCCGGATACTCCTAAAGTGAATTTTGAAGATTCACTACTACGGCCAGGTGAGGTCAATTTAGTAACTCCATTAGGGTCCTGTACATATGTCTCTGAGACAGCATACATCCATGGCTAGAGATTCCAGAGTTTTGGCAAGGGATGATTGCTGTCTGATTTGGCATAAAGTTCGGACGATGTAAGCTCCTACAAGAAATCGATGGCGGGGTCTTAGAAGAGTGGGAATGAGGTATCAATGGTTTTGATCAAACCCATGGTTGCAGAGTGAGAGGTTGGCCTTTTGCGGGATGATGTTTCGAGGTTTGGTTGTTTTAACGCTGGACAGGCGACACCCACACTGCCGGCACCGGAAGACCGTGAAACAGATGTTTCTTTTGGGGACCACCTTTTCTAACCCCTCTCCTTCCCATCGGAAAGGCAGCATCAGTGTGGCACTGCTGGGTCATCCAAACGAAGCACCTCACTACTGCTAGAGTCCTAAAAGCTAATGAAGTTAGGTGGAGACATACTGATTGCTGATTCTTTAATAACAACAACACGAGATACATGTAAAAGAACTGACTTTATCCGTTCTAAAGGTATAGAAGACTCAAAAAGAAATAAACCTACTTACCGAATACTTCATTTAATTAAACTTATCACGTCAGATCTATCCTTTGATACTTACAAAAATCATGAACGATGAAACTAGATAACGGTTACATTCATGAAATATTTGTGCATTGTGGAGAGAATCAATCTATTATCAGTGAAGTTTAACAAAATTAAATGACATTGTGTGAATATTCACAACCAATTTATTTACACAAAATAACGACAACTTTCAAATAACATTCATCATATGTAAGAGTTGGAAAATTAATTCCTGTTGGTACTTACTTGAATGAGATTTCTTCACCTAAATTGTCAATATCCATTGGTGTGGTTTGGAAAATACCACTACTGGCAAATGGGTGTCCACCAAAACCAAATTCTACGTGAAAGAACGAACAACGCTGAGAATTATTTACACTACTTACCTCTATCATAAACAACAGTCCCTGTGTGATATGCACCCATTTTTAAACCATTAGGCCAATGCTAGATAAAAAGAGGGTATGATATTTTGAAAAATACACATTACTCACTAAATGATATACATTCACATAAACAGGTTCGCCGAGATTTCTAAAGCTTCTAGTTGATTCATGTTCAATGAAAGAAACTGTTGTTGTCTCAGACACCTCAGGTTTATTGGGAGACATCTAAATTGAAGTACATATATTAGAAACAGTAGTTCAAAACAACCTTCAACAGTTATAAATCAGATATAGTCAATAATTTTCAGTATAAATAGCCTAACGCATAGGCTTTTTGGATACAGCAAGAAGACTTTCGTGTAAATCAAAAAGTTGTCAGCATCTTATTGATTAGATTGGAATACACAGAATAAACAAAACGAAGGCAGTAGCAGTTGTCGACAAATACACAAAAGACTTTTCTAAAAGTTAAAAAAATGAAACAAGAGTGAACTTACTAGTAGACAGACAAAAAAACCAATGATAAAATAGTACCACACGCCAGTCTTTGTGTGTCAGCTAATCACGGCAACAAAGAAATATGATTGACAGTAAACTGGAACATTAATACATAGTGCTCTGTAGAACGTAAACAATTAGGGAAATACAAAGAACGTCAGAGAATTTCTGGAGGCGTGGTAGTCAGGTCAGCCAGCGATCAACAGACATATTGACATTGACCCAATCTATCAATAAATTAGAAACACAGAAAGCAACAAGAAGGACAGAGTTCGTCAGCAGGATAGCCGGTCGAAATACTTATAACAGATTTTAGGAGAGACGACCAATCATACCTGAGGTCATTAAAACGAGCTACTTGACCACTTGTAGAAAAAAACTCATAGCTCACTTTCCTTCCAAAGTTTCTACTGATGATGCTGTTTAGAATGACAGTGAAAACTTTACGGTTAAACAATACAGATCGGAGAACACCAGACCACTAAAAACAATAGGGGAAAGCAGACAGTTTCAGAAGACAATTACAGCAACAGCTTAGTAACTTTACTCCAATACCTCCCGAAATTTGTGTTCATAGAAAGAGAAGTTAGTTTGAAGTGATAACCACTACCATCGACCAGATAATAAAAACAACCTTGGATCGAATTAGTCGAATAAGGCTCTATACGAAACATTAAAAATCCCCAAAAACATGCAGCATTAAAAGAACGTAAATTTTACCAACTGTAGCACAAGTTTGAGCCAAATTTCAACTAATAAGGATTGAGAAACCAAGTAAAACCTTATCATAGACATAGTTTGAGAGTAATATGATTCTAAGAATGAAACGAGATTCGACGGCTGAATTAATACTGATCTACTGTTTGCTTTCCTGCATTGCGATAATATTGGACTATTGCTCATTGATTTAGGCAGCTGAATTCCAACTAGAGAATGATGGGTTCAAACATCGCTAAACCCATCGACGTATCACTAGCCCTAACAATAGGTATGAATCATTATCTACCGAACAAACGTGCACAAGGTTCCTGAGTTCATTTTGTTTGCGTTGCGACAAAATAGGTCTAAGCGTGATTTAGCAGGGTCCAATTAAGAACCTGATACTTTACACTAAATGATGGAAATTCAGTCACCGCTTAGTAGAATTTACTCTGGGTTATTCATTTATTATGAAGTGGTTGACATCTAGTCATATTTTGAACAGATCAAGCCGTATCCTTCCAATGAATATGAGATACGAAGATACTTCGGTTGAGAACAAATCAATTTTCCTGGTGATCGTCCAGTATAAGTTTCGAGAAATCAGTCATTCAGCTATAAAAAAGGTGGGACTTGGCATTACCACGTAACCGTTCAGCTTATGTATCTCACACCAGCAAATTAAGATGCAAGGCACCAAGTTAAAACTTGTAATATGGGTAAAGAATGTAATCAAGTCACAGGAAGTCATAAGAAAAAGAGATGTGGCTCAGTGGTTTTGGGAGATGAGTGTCAACCAGTGGGTCACGAGTTCCAGCCCTGCTCCACCTACCGAGTTTTGGGCAGCCAGGTAGTAACACTCGCCCTCACAGAATAGGTGTAGTTCATTGCCTAGTGCACTGATGTGTGCGAAGTAGCTGAGTGCGTCTTTTTATAAGAATAGAAGAAGGGGTAAAACGACAACGAAATGTGATTTAAATATTGGGATGAAGATAATGTATGGATGCATTTGAGCCAATGAGATTAATTTTCAGCTATATCACCCAGTATCCAACCACCAATTTCAAACGCAGCAAGGACTATAACCAAGTAGTTCACGTTCCCCTAGACGGATAAAATCAGCAGTCAAAAAGTTCATAGACAGATCTTAGGCTTTGGTCTGGCTGCCTCCGACCTTTTTTCAACCTAAGCACATTTCTGCTAACATCGCACATGTGGGTAGACAGCTAAAGATGTATAACATGTTTCAGCCATCTGAGTCAATGACGAATTACAACATCATCGATTGACCTTTGCGACCTAAAACTCTACGCCTAACCTCTACGCTACCAAAATTTGTTCAACATAACCTGGTGAACACTACGAAGAAAACAATGATTGAACAACTGTAGCCTTCTCGCCCCCCAATTCTCACGATTATGTTTCAGTGACATAGTAGAACAAATCGTCAGGCTGATTCCTCTGTGGTTATCACAAGAGGACTTCTCGCCTTTCTTGAAGACTGGGATGATGAGTGACTTAGACCAGTCGGAGGGGATCGTATTTGATTCCCATATACTGGCTAACACTTCCGTTAGCCTGACTAAGAGAACTCTACCACCATTCTTGTATACCTCAGCAGGTAGTCCGTCTGGTCCTGCTGCCCTTCCCCGTTTCAGGCTACCTACCGCTTTCTCAACTTCTTCTAGTGTTGGGGGACCTGTCTCTATGTCCCATTCAGGGTCCGACTGGATAGCGGGCAGCGCAATGGTGGCTGGAGGCCAGTTAAACTGTTCCTCAAAGTGTTCTGCCCATCGTCCCAGTCGCCTTCCCTGCGAGTGAATCGCCGATCCGTCCTTCTCCGCTATAACCTCACTAACTGTTGTTGACCATTTCCCCCCAGTCTCCTTAATAAGTCTAAATAACTGTCTACTGTTACCGATCGCCGCTGCCTTTTCCATCTCTTTAGCCTTTGCTGCCCACCACTGTTCACGATCGTTGCGCAGACTTTTCGTCAGTTTATTTTTAAGTTGCGCTCGCTCTTCATTGTACTCAGAGCCTGCAGGGATGCATTCACGTGCATCCATTAGTTTGGAAGAAGCTGCTGATATCCACTGGCTCTTTTTAGCCATTATCTTGGAGTCGGCTACAGTCTCCAGTGCTGCTTTTACAGTAGACTGAAGATGGCACCAAGCTTCTTCTGGATGAGTGACAGTCTTTTGTTCCGATAACTGCCTAGCCAACTTCTCACTGAACACGGCTTTGGTGTTTTCGTTGTCCAGCAGAACTCGTAGTGGTTTTGTTGCCAAATTTTTTCTACGTCCATTGAGACGCAGGCATATACGTGCTCGGACCAACGCATGATCGCTGTCCAAACACGTACTCCAGAAGGAGCGGCAGTCTTCCACCGATCCTCTCCAGCGATGACTAATAGCAATGTGGTCTATCTGTGTCCATCGCTGAGTCGAGCTCGGTGGACGCCAGGTCAGACAGTGCCTTTCTTTATGTCTGAAATTTGTGCTGGCTAAAAATAGGCGGTTATCTGAGCATAGTTGTAATAGGCGATCACCGTTATCTGTACGTTCAGCTGGGATTCCGAAAGTGCCACCTAAGTGCCTTTCTGCCTCACTCAGTCTACCCACCTGTGCGTTGAGGTCACCTGCAACAACCACTACGTCCGAACGTTTGGCTTTCGAGAGGAGGTTAGACAGTTTATGGTAGAACTCGTCCTTCACTTCATCCGAACTACAGTCAGTGGGTGCGTAAGCAGAGATTACAAAGAGACAACGGCGAGTCTCACTATTCCTTTTAGTTCTCACTGTGCCGTTCAGCCTCATAGCGCAGAGGCGACTATCAACTGGGATCCAGTCTAGTAGTGAGTTTTCTGCCCTGGTGCTTAATGCTATACCTACACCTGCAAGACCACGAGAGCTAGCTATCGAATCTCCAGAAACTCGAAGGGTGAATTTTGCAGATTCACCAGATTGGTCAGGAGAGGTCAGGTGAATAACCACACTTGGGTCCTGTATGCGTGTCTCACAAACACAGCACACATCCATGCCCGAGTTGCTAGAGTCTTTGCCAACGAAGCCTGTTGGCCAATTTGACGGAGGGTGCGGACATTGAAGGCTCCAATATGTAATTTGGAGCGTGGTTTAAGGAGACCAGGGATGCTGTTCTGTGGACTCAGATCGTTGTCGAAGGCTGCAGAGGTAGGAGAAATTGAAGATGATGCAGCATCATTAATTAAGAGACGTGAAGGAAGATTAGAAGGTAATGATGGAGGAGGAGGATAGCAGTCAGAAGAAACTTGGGTGCTGACAGAGTTGTGAGGGCGGTTGACACTTCCCGGCTGCCCACACCGTGGAAGGCTATTTCTTCTTAAGGTACCTGAAAGAGATTTGTGTGACCGCAGAGCCCATCGGACATCTGCTTGAGGCCTGTCACACCCAGCCTTTTGAGTATGATTATTTTGAATTTTTGTATTTTTGGGGCCGGATGGTCGAAAGGAAACGACAAGTGAACCAACACCGCCGGCCCGGCAGACCGTGGGGCGTGGTGGAGTGTGTTATTTTTGGGGCCGACCTTTTCTAACCCCCCCTTCCACTGAGAAGGCAGCATCAGCTTGGCACTGCTGGTCATCCAAGGGAAACACCTTACTGCTGTCACACCCCATCCAGCTAGCAGCAGTACGACTTCGCCCTCAGACCCCCATCATAGTGTAGCAATTTACACTATAACGGTAACTGCTTTTCGTCTAACCACTACCCAACAGACCTTTCTGGTATGGTAGGACCTCGAGGGAACAAGCGTTCCACCAGCATAGCTCGTTGGGTCATTGTGATATGCAAGCCCGACCACCACGTCAAGGTAGCAGCTATCGGTCGGGAGACACCCAGTATCAGGCGCCATGATATGGAAGACGGTGAAGATCTCAGTATCACCGACGGCCATACCTAAACCTAATCTGATTTTCTACCTATAAATTCGATTTGATTGTTTCATGATCACAGAACTTAGCATATTAGAAGCCACGTTTGTCATGCTAGTTCTTTCACAGATACCACAAGAGCATCCTTCTTTCTTGAGCAACGATATCAGCAGCTTCTTCCAAACTAATGGATGCACGTGAATGCATCCCTGCAGGCTCTGAGTACAATGAAGAGCGAGCGCAACTTAAAAATAAACTGACGAAAAGTCTGCGCAACGATCGTGAACAGTGGTGGGCAGCAAAGGCTAAAGAGATGGAAAAGGCAGCGGCGATCGGTAACAGTAGACAGTTATTTAGACTTATTAAGGAGACTGGGGGGAAATGGTCAACAACAGTTAGTGAGGTTATAGCGGAGAAGGACGGATCGGCGATTCACTCGCAGGGAAGGCGACTGGGACGATGGGCAGAACACTTTGAGGAACAGTTTAACTGGCCTCCAGCCACCATTGCGCTGCCCGCTATCCAGTCGGACCCTGAATGGGACATAGAGACAGGTCCCCCAACACTAGAAGAAGTTGAGAAAGCGGTAGGTAGCCTGAAACGGGGAAGGGCAGCAGGACCAGGACTAGACGGACTACCTGCTGAGGTATACAAGAATGGTGGTAGAGTTCTCTTAGTCAGGCTAACGGAAGTGTTAGCCAGTATATGGGAATCAAATACGATCCCCTCCGACTGGTCTAAGTCACTCATCATCCCAGTCTTCAAGAAAGGCGAGAAGTCCTCTTGTGATAACCACAGAGGAATCAGCCTGACAAACATAGTGTCTAAGATCCTAAGTTCTATAATTCTCCGACGCCTGAGTGGAGCTCGGGAACAGCAAGCCCGAGAAAACCAGGCAGGCTTTAGACCTGGCCGTGGATGTATCGACCAAATATTCACACTGCGCCAGGTCCTGGAACATAGGCATGCTTACAGACGCCCGACAATAGCTGTATTTCTCGACCTGAAGGCGGCATTTGACTCCGTTGATCGAGAAGTCTTATGGCAGTGTCTGTCACTGAAAGGCGTGCCTAGTAAGTACATCACCTTATTGAAAGCTCTCTACTCGAACACTTGTGGGCATGTTAGAGCCTATGGTGAGTTGTCCAGGGAGCTATACTCATCAAGTGGTGTCCGTCAAGGATGCCCACTATCCCCATTCTTATTTAATTTTATCATAGATATTCTTATGGAGGTTTCCCTCTCGTCACCTAATTACAAAGACGTTGACCGGATCACAGGTGAATTTTCCTTAGATCTAGAATATGCAGATGACATAGTCCTGTTAGGTGAAGACGCTGACAAGATGCAGAGTCTTCTGAACACTTTGAGTGGGAATTTGAGAATGTTTGGGATGCGATTTTCACCACCCAAATGCAAATTTTTGCTCCAGGACTGGTCTTCAGCGGTACCGCGGTTAACAATAGAGAGTGAAGTGGTTGAGTGTGTTGACCACTTCACTTACCTGGGAAGTAGGATCAACCCGGTGGGTTAGTTGCCGATGAGATTTCTGCACGGATACAAAAGGCTCGATTGGCTTTTGCCAATTTGCGCCACCTATGGCGCCGCCGTGATATTCGTTTGTCTATTAAGGGTCGCGTGTACTGCACAGCAGTCCGCTCTGTTCTACTGTATGGCTGTGAAACATGGCCATTGAAAGTGGAAGATACAAAAAGGTTTCAGGTGTTTGACCACCGTTGCCTTCGTAGTATAGGACGTATTCCGTGGTGTCACCATGTGAGTAATGCAGAAGTTAGGTGTAGAGTTTTGGGGAGAAGAGGTAAGTCAGTCGACGAGGTTGTGAACCTTCATCGACTGAGATGGTTGGGACACGTACTACGTATGCCTAGTCACCGATTGCCTCGTCACACAATGTTGGCTGAGGTGGGTCCAGGCTGGAAAAAGGCCCGAGGTGGCCAGACTAAAACATGGCACCAATGTATGAAGTCTCTGACTGTTGGTTTAAGCCATGTAGGACGATGCAGACTAGGTGGTTGGGGTCCACGGGACAAGAGGAACCAGTGGTTGGAGACCCTAGGTGATATGGCTCAGAACCGAAGTCAGTGGCGCAGATGTATACACACATTATCCTCATCTTAACAACGCTATACCGAATCTCACTATTTTGTCACTCCTCTTTCCTTTCTTCTCGTACTTTATATTTCTTTTGACTGCATTCACTTATCTTCATCCTTCACCTCACTACCTTTTTACTTGATGTGCTGATATGAGGTGTGGCAACTCGGACCGTTACGCAGTAATGCCTGGTCCTATGTTGATAATGATGATGATGATGATGAGCAACGATACAGTCAACGATTGGAATCAGTTAGAAAATACCATATCAGATTTCCGAACGTCAACTAGCACTTTAATTACTGCAGCCAATAATCGGCCGCCGTCCATATTTCTCATGCAAGTCTATATATACCTGCTTTCCTTCGTCTTAGATTACTTACAGCCTGCTCAACTTCTGGGTGAGCTGAAGAGCCTACCTCAATGTTCCATAAGGGATGCGACTGTTTAGTGGGAAAACTGAGTAGCTGAAGGCCTGGTGAACTGTTCCTCGAAGTGTTCCACCAATCGTCCCACTTGTCTGTCTTGCGAAATAACCGCATATATATATTCCTCCTCTATAGTTTCACCAATCATTTTCGTTATTGCTGCCAAATTGCTGCGAAATAAATTTGTACGCCATTTATTCGTTTACATCTCGGAAAACTACGTATGTATGGCGGTATGATAAAATAACAGACCTTACCTATCCCTAGCCATACCACTGTATTTGGCAACAAAGTGAATAGTGAAACTGGCTAGATTTTATGTACTAGACTGAGCTACAGAATAAACAGCTCATTTGTTAGTTAGCTATAAGCTGTTCGCCTGAATAGCTATGAATTAAGTTTGGATAGCCATGAAGGGTTATTATCCATCTTTAGTCTTCACACATGTGTCCATCAACTGTAGTGGAATGAAATGGAGAATGTCCCACCAATGCGATTAGTTTTACTTTAGAAATGATTTCTATGTACTGAGCAGAAAATCTAACATGTGCGCAACACAATCTGAAGGTGTTTTTCGAAAGGCTTACTAGACATCTATATCGTCAACCTTTTCGGCTAACAGAACCAAATATTGAAATCTCAAGAGAATAGTGCGTAAGCGCTTATGACAACAAGAGTACACAATCACCTCTCTTTATCATTCCTAACTAGGGCCTGTGTGAGGTAGAGTAAACCAATTTCACATTCATTTTCAATTTGCCACTGATCATATCTTTTAGGTAGTCCAGAAAATGGTGCATAATGGTTATGTAGTTCTCTCACCACGAGAACCCTAAAACCCTGAACATGCAGGTGACATCGTTTTGGTATGCAATGATATCCAGGTTACTGAAATTGCATTCATTCTGTATCCCTAAGTGTGGTATGTGCTTCAGACCGTTAGCATTCGAAGAACTTTTTAAGTTCACATGTGCTAGTTCTTGAATATAATCTCGGTAGTAGTGTGATACATTTTAAAACCTTGATCTTGTTTTAGATTGCCTTGTCTTCTCGATGTGCATCGTTAGAAACTACTCATTGTCATTTATTAAGAAGTGTAAGTGGTTGTATATATATGTTTAATGAGTTAATCTCTTATTGTTCCGTTTACATGTTCTCAGATTGGTTAAATGAACTGCCACTGACAAACTAACGCACACTATTCTACTCAAGCATTTCACACCTGTCGAATGTAAAATGATGCTTCAATACTGGTATCTAACAGCCCCTAGTTTAAAGAAAAGGGGTGAAGTGGTTGGATACACTGACCACTGCACTTATAGAGAAGCTGAATAAGCTCGAATAGAAAATACCTATTTGGTATTTGCCAACTTACGTCATCTCAGGCAACAGGGAGATATGCGACTACCTAATGAAAGATGAGTGAACAAGGCAGCAATTTGCCTTTTTCTGCTACCCGTGAGAGCTGTTGAAAGTCGAAGACATGAAGACGCTATTTGTTTTTGACAACAAGTGTCTTCGTAGCGCTGTCTACTTATGGTGGAATCACTGTGAGCAATATCAATGTTGAGTATAGAATACTAGATGAGGAAGGCAAGTCGGTTCAATGAGGTGGTGAACTTTCAGTGACTAAGGTGGCTTGGCTATGCGTTGCACATGCAATGTTGGCTGGAATAAGGTTGCGATGGAAAATGCTTAGGGCATTTAAACCAAACGCGTAGGGCGGTAAGACAGTCCGGCTGGGGTTCCTAAGATGACAAAAATCAAAGGTTGGATACTAGATAACAAGGTTGAAAATCGACCATGGTGGTGCAGATGTACAAGCTACTTTTCATTTTTAGAATCTTGAATATTTTATAACTCTCATCTATTTCTCCCCTTTCCTCTCGTACATGTCTTTTTATCACATCACTTTTAGTCCACTTTTTACATGCTCCAACAAATTGTGGGAACTTCGACCGATGCACACATGCCAGGTTCTAGGTTAGTTTCTTGCTATCCAACACTGCAACGAATTACCAACAACCCAGATCAGAACGTATCAACAGCTGTTTGTTACAGCGGACAACTGAAAATCCTTGAGGTATCTTTTAATGATTACGGGCACAGAACAGGTGTTGATTTGAGAATATTTGAAGTGCGAACAGTTCTAGTCAGCGTCAGTATAACACATGTGTATATGTGTTGTTCATATACGGATATCTGTCAAAACCATGATTTTGACGGGTATGTTCAGTGCACTGAACATTTTTATAGGCGTAAAACTTGGGCACTGTGGTTGATTGTAATTCCATTTCAGTCTATTTATTAGAAATGTCACTGGACGTTTTGTATTCGAAAAGGAAGGAATCGCGAGCTTAGAAAATAAATGGATACAAAAGATTCCCAAGTTTTAGTTAACCCAAAAAGACTATGTAGTTATGATAATTTGGACCCAAAAACATTTCAGTTTGAAACCCTAGCCATTCTTTAAATTTTCCGTAAATGTTAGTATGTAGGTTACCTCAAATATAAAAATCAAGCATAAGACAATAGAGTATAATTAGAATTACTTTCACCGTAGGATTATCAAACAAAAACATGACTGAAATATTGGAAAGAAACAATAATCATCTTACAGCGATAGTAAACAGATGTAGCGTTTCTCCATGAATTCCCGCAAAATATTCCAGCACATAAAAACAAAACAAGGAAAAAACAAAAGTGAACCTGCATCATATTTCACACATAGTTTCATGCTTACATATTGTATGAACTGTACCCCCACCTCATTTTAGTCTTCAAACTTTATCGACCAATCACTTTTCCTTTTGGTGTCTGTTTGTCTTTAAGAATGAAATTCTGAGGAAGGAATTATCTCCTTTTCTTTCCTGATCTCAAAGAGATGACTATACTTGCGTATTAGCTGAATATTTTTGATGACGGATACAACAAAGTCCCATTTGAAAAGGCTATGGGAGTCTATGAAAAGATCACGCCGTTTCGAAAGAGATAACTTAGATACACCTCTTAAAAGATGTCTGACAGCCTTCGATCTTACTCTTCTGGGTATAGGTATAAAAAAAATCCATTTTTAACTTTTACTGTTTACAGGAAATATGGCTGGTGCAGGCATATATGTTCTAACGGGTACCGTAATCCGAGACAAATCTGGACCCTCTACATTCTTATCCTACTTGGTTGCTGGGATTACAGCTTTCTTGAATGCTTTGTGTTATGCTGAATTGGGATCACGAATACCTAAGGTAATACTTTTCTTCGACAAACTGATTTTTATGTTAACTGAATTCTTTATGAATTTTACTGTCAGATATACTATGAGCAAATCGAATAATATTTTTTGTATGAAGTCTATTTTACTTTTTTAATCTTAATGTAGTGTGCTTAAACAACTAAAAATGAATATTTTGTATTACGCGCAACTTTCGTTTCTTTTTAGTATACTTCGTTGGGATCATACAAGTAAAAAAACTTTTCGAAACGAATCAAATTAGCTCGCTTCTCAAATTCCTCTAAACAATACAGTTCCCCGTTTACATTACAATTAGTAATTTTATAGTGTATTTTACTTTTCAGTCTGCTAAAGGTATCATGAAAGAATGATAATTTCGTGTTAAAGTTGAGTCTCAATGTTTGAGAACTATTTATTTATTCCTCTAGGTTAATGTATACTAAATAAGCAGTTAGATTGACAACTGCACTATAAGGGATAAAATTTATAAGATGTATCTCCATTTCCTGAACTCAGCATCATTTAGTTGAAGGATGTCCACTTCAATTTAACTGTATGACATATTACTAGTAAGGTGTTAGTATCTTTAACTTTTGTTCCCTGATTAATGTTTTCTTCACAAGTTCCACCAGACGTTTTCTTACCTGGAGATAAGACATATCTCATAACTTCCTTCATATATTCATTCTAGAGAATAATCAAAAGTCTAAAGTTTTTGAATTTTCTCTTATCGATTGGTGACAGGTTATAGAAAATACATTCCCATGACTTTTAGTTATTCACTCCATGGGATACGACAATCATTCCCAAGATAGATTCCTTCACTCTACTTCTACTATCTGTCCATTTTTTATTAAAAAAACAATAGGCAGTATTCTTTATAGATATGATTACTTTCCTGAATAAAAATATTTATTTTATATGAATCAATAGCTGTTTTGATGAGTATCTCATGGCAACTGCGAGTTGTAAGTTAATTGTAGCAGTGAATAATCTAAACAGTAACTAGGACGTCCGATAAAAGTTTTGGTATTCAAATTTTGAATAGAATCCGAACTTTTTAAAGTAGTAAGAGGACATCGCTTTTGTTACAAGTAAGTTTGAGAGTGGTGTAATTCACACTTCTGTTATACGAAGACACGGTTATAGTTCTTCTACTGACCAGATGTAAAATATGTTGACCATGCAATGTTGACTCCGTGATCGAGCTATAACTACTGGTCGCTTACAAACTAAAGAATAGTAGATTTCGAATGTTCACTGCTTTTCTAAACCGTTGAAATAAGGTTGGGTTTCTGAGAATTAAACAAGGAGTAAGTGAAAGTCAACAACAAATTTCATATTTCCACTTGGAAACGTCCCCTTAGGATTGATTGGTTGCTCTCAAAATCTTCTAAGTAATCTAGCCAGGAGCTCTTCTGCAAATCTAAGTTGAGAATATTAGATTGTAAGCCTAAGCAACTGAATTACCTTTATACGGTTTCCAATATTAGGTCAATCCTTGAAATCCAAGACATATTCGCGGAATTGTTTGTCTCTTTCTATGCCCTATAAGAATACTTGTTGATTGAAATAGGATCAAAGACTCCCTACCAGTCATATGTTGTAGCTTAGTGAACAACCCTTATACGAGTGCGGGTGTTTACTAAATATCAATTCACATAGATAAAACAGATTCCGAGTGGAACCATACACCACTAAATTGTTTAAAGTAATTGATGTTTTCTGATATTTTATATTTGAGTGTGAATATTTCAAGACCAGTCTTAGTGACTTCTACTTAATTCATAGTGTGAAGCGAAGAAACAGTTATCATCCTTATGCTGAACTAAAAATCCTTTTTATGATGTTAAATTAATATGTGCTAGTGTTTTGACACTAGGGAGTTTGGAATATTTCCGGACAAATTAGACATAGCACTTCCTAATCCATCGATACGAAGTCAAATCACAGTGTTTTCTTCTATGATCAGCCCTAATTATTGTATTTCCATGATACAGCGTATAGTCTGTGGTTTCTGTGATTTTTATTTACGATCGCAATTTAATTTGTTTGTAAAGTTTCATTTTTTATCTCACTAAAGAGTCATTCAAATTTCACTTGTTATGCATATTTACTAGGCGGAAAATCAAAAGAATTTTACCCTTGTTACTTGCAGTAATCTACTACTTTGCTACATTTTAAATGGAGCAATAAAAACTTTTTTTGTAGGTAGTGGTAGTTTATGTTGATTGCTGGTCGGTGAATACCAGTTTTAGTTAAGTCGTTGGAGATGATCAATCCCTGAAAACTTCTTTAATTACAGCACTGGATGATCCAGGTTTGAATCTTTCAGGAGATATTAGTTGCCTACAAGTCAAAGATACATCTTGCTGTTGAGCGCCAACAAACACGCAACAGAATTTTCTGCCTATTGTCAACCATCTAGAATGAGTCAGAGTGAGTGACGATGTCGAGTGTCTTCTCTTGAATACCATATTACAAAATAATCTGTAGATTTCGGTCACCATTAAGGACTAAACGATGTGAGTCTGGTTATTCTCCAGTTATCACTCAATGAATGTTGATTTTTATCAAAAACTGATATCACTTTCAATTCATTGTAAATTCAGTTCATCATATGAATGTTTCTGTGTAGGATGAGCAGCGTTTTTACTGTATGAATCAAAAAATTAATCACCATATTGGAAATGATAAATGGACATTTGTTCTATTTATTTACCCTAAGTATGACAAACAAATACAAGTTGGAACAACAATGAAGTCAACCAAACGGTTGGTTCATTACTAGCTTCCTCATAACAAGATATAAAACTAATTCACTCAGTTTTTGATATGGTTGAAGTAACTCTTCCACTGAAAAAGTAATTGATTTCATACGTCAGAATTAGCGGAATAAGATTCACAATATGAAATATATTACATTTTGTTCTTTGTCAATTCATCAACTGAACATAAACCTGCATAATATTTGAAAATTTACAGACTATAAAAACATTGGCATAACTTATGGGTTGCTAAGATAAAATTGAGTGATTGTAAAGCTTGAAAAGTGATTTAATCTAAAATTTCAGGATATATAGCCAAAAGAAATTGGGAGGATAGAAATTATCTGGAGAAGATTCAAGAGTATCTTGACAGAATTTTTGTAGAACTTTTGAAAGCATTTCATTGTACAAGCAAATCTACTATATTTTTTTCTGGCAAAAGATGAATATACCTTAATTTGATGCAAGCCTCAATTGCATTTCTTAGTTTTCATGACTGGCATATTGAAGGAACTAGTAAACTAGAGTACGATCCCTGTGTTAACTACACATTAAAGTATCTAGAGCTCATGAGATCACACTTTTTGATTTGTCCAGCAACGTCAACTAGGTTTAATCTTGACATAGTACACTTATAACTATTTTCAAGATGGAAAGCACTTCGATTGTATTACATTCTTATGAGTTTTCTGTGTCAGATGTTTTTTTAGAAGAGTATGCCCAGTACTACCTTGGTAGCTGAATTGATCATTCTTATTCACTCTCTTAATTTGCTTCTGACTCGTTGAAATATGCTTACTTTTTTGTTAATCTCTCACACAATTCACCTTCCACAGCTTCCATTTAACCATAAATATAAAAAGTCTTCGACACAGCTTTAAACATCATCCTTGAAATTACTTCTGAGGGAACAATTTTTTCCATCTTTGTAAGTAGATATACTCTGTTCATACTAATTCAATTATAGCAGCATCAAAACGTAGTACCTTGCTTAAGCGACTCTCTGGATGACCTTGAACTGTTCATCATTCAATCGAACTAATGAATACTTAGCTTATTTTATCCAAGTAAACATTTGTCGAAGTGAGAAACCAAGTTTCATATCATAGTCTTGTGTTTATTATCAAGTTTCTATGATTTTCTACTGATATCAGATTGCCTTAAGTCGAAAAAATCGTGAGTGAAGAGTTAGTAATTTTTATTCTTTATTAGTGAGGTGTCCAGTCTGATGCCACACTCAGACTTTAACTTTATGAACCTAAGTGTTGAAGTTGAAATGGTTTTATTATCTACTATTTAAAACAGCGATTAACTGGAAAGAATGCTATGTTTTAAACACCGGTACTGATAAGACTATATACACAACTTCCTGTTGTTGTATGACTTATTTCTTGATAAGTAAACCTTAAAAGGTAAATCCTATAGGTTTTCTTAAATTCGACTTCTAGACTATGATGACTGGTCTTAGTTTCTTAGACTGTAACTCATAACTTTCGACAATTATAATGATCATAAATTCCTGATAGTTTTTTACTTCAACAACTGTAGATCTTTAGGAAAATTGATTGGCAGTTTCAACAATGGCACGATTTTTCTATCTTACCTTTAATCCCTTTTTCAACTTGAGTAGTAAGCATTATCGTTTTACTGAGCAAACAAAGATTGCAAGTAGTTTTATCAACTGATAACTTTCCGTATATTCTAGTCTGTTGACAGCTGGATAGAAGTAAGGCAATAAGGTAAACCCATGTTCTTTTAAATCTTTTATGTGGCTTACAAATGGGTTTTTCGCATAGATACTTTGATTCTGTTGAATGATAATTGAAATGGAATCAAGGTTATTTGCTGTGTTTTTGTTTTTGCTTGTTAAACAGATGAGCACATGTTTAAGTTATTATGGAAACTGGGACTTAGCTCTTACCTTACCAGACTAGAAAATGGTTTCTTCATTGACACAGAAATCCCTCTAGATGTTTGATATCTGGCTAGTTATTGCATGAGTAAGTACTACAGCCAAACCTTTATATCTCAACATCTTTACGTCACACTTTGTCCTGTTTATGTTAAGGCAGCTGCTGAGACATTCAACACACTGGCAGGTCTTCGGTTAGTGTAATATCTAACACTTCCGTAAAGTTTGTGATATTACCAAAGAATTAGTCCAGTCACGAATTTCTAACTGGAAACCTTAATTATGTCGATATTTCGATTGTTATACGAAATTAACAACAATCTGTAGTCTTAG